ATATCAACGGAACGTATACATCACATCATTCACGAATATTTGGGTATGAGAAAGCTCTGTGCAAAGTGGGTGCCGCGCGAGCTCACTTTTGACCAAAAACAACGACGAGTTGATGATTCAGAGCAGTGTTTGAAGATGATCACGCGTAATAAACCCGAGTTTTTGCGTCGATATGTGACAATGGATGAAACATGGCTCCATCCAATCGATAGTCATCGGAGTGGACTGCACACGATGAACACGATGTTGAATAAAAAAAACGAATTTTGCAAAAAAAAATGTGTTTTACTATTTTAGGCCGGGGACTTTTCAATTGACCTGTGATATATACCTACAAAGTAGCTGGATGTTACATGTACTAACAAAATCTATGATTATGTTCTTGGTTTATCCATTAGCCCAAATTGGTAGCAAAAGAAAATGTCACAAGAGAAGTACATAGAAAACATTTTACTTTTTTGATAAAACTACTCAGTTCAATATCATATGAGTACTTTCTCGAGAGGACTCCGTGATAAGCAACACAAAAATTAAATTTGTAGCGTACCAAAACTAGATGCTCTCTTACGTGCTAATTTGGTATCAAAGTTTAGAACTATTGTAATAACAAATATCTTTTCGGCTTTAAATAGAATTGTTGTTTTCTTAAGTGCCACGTTCATATGCGAGTAGTTATCGCCTTTACGTTAGGTTACCGAGTTGTTAAAAGTAACGCAAAAATAAACGTTGTAACTCTAAACATTTTTTTCTAAACGTCTATTAACTTTGAAAAAGAAACAATCACTTTTATGTTCAGTTTTATTTTATTTATTCAAGCGATTCACGAAACCCGTGTGGAATACACTCCACACAATAGATAGCCACCTTGCCACGTATCTTCAACCTGACTCCAATCACAATCAACAGTTTGTTATAGTTTCCTCTCAAACACTGACTCCAACCACAGTGAACCGTTTGCTATAGTTTCCTCTCAAAACACTGAGATTAGTCTGCTGTATTTTGGAGTATGCATTTTTGATCAGATCAGTTCAATTTGCAACAACAAGCGATCGATTCCACTGCACCAAGAAGTGCAATACGTTATTTATGAATTGCATTCTCATCAGCGACTCCTTTCCTTTCTGCTTTCTCGCCTCTTCTCGTCAAATAACATGCATGCACAATTCGTATCAACGCAAAACGATTCGTCAACGTCAGGCACAGTTTGGAATGCTTATCATATCATATTTAGTCAACTCACTGCAGCAAGAAGTGCAATAAGAAACTTAGTGCTTTATTTATGAATGCGGCATTCTCATCAACAACTCCTCTCCTTACTGCATTCTCACGTTTTCTCGTCAAATAACACGCCCTGCACAATTTGTATGGGCGTAAAACGAATCGTCAACGTTAGGCACAGTTTGAAATGCTATCATATTTAGCCACTTTGCCACGTTATCTCCAACCTGACTCCAATCACAATCAACCGTTTGCTATAGTTTCCTCTCAAAACACTGGGAGAGATTAGTCTGCTGCATTCTGGAGTAAATATTAGTAGGTTGTAGGATGATTCATCCAAATGTACTTGGTTTTAGATCAGTTCAGTCCTGTTCGCAACAACAAGCGATCAAATTCACTGCACCAAGAAGTGCAATAAGAAACTTAGTGCTTTATGTATGAATGACATTCTCATCAATGTCTCCTTTCCTTTCTACTCTCTCTCTCTCTCTCATCTCGTCAAATAACATGCTTGCACAATTCGTATTGACGTAAAACGAATCGTCAACGTTAGGCACAGTTTGGAATGCTTATCATATCATATTTAGTCAACTCATTGCAGCAAGAAGTGCAGAAACTTGTTAATTTATGAATGCGGCATTCTTATCAACGAATTATTTCTACATATATTATCAAATAATTGAACTTACCAAAGAAATCTTCTTTAGCATTAAGTGGAGCACTGGAGGCATACGCAATGTCAACGAAATGGGGATATTTAATACGAACCCATGTCGCAAGAGTTGCAGAATAAGAGCCTCCAATTGCTACTACCTAAAGTAACCATAAATTAATAAAATTGCATTTTAAAGTAGTAGCTAGTAAGTTATTGTGGCTTAATTAACATTTTTGCTACACTAGCTTTAAAAGAAATTTAACGAAGCTAAATAAGATATTATGAAAATGTTGACGTAGAATTCTAATTAGTGTTACTCACCGAACTATTTTGTAAGGCTGGAATGTTTTCTTTTTGGTATTTGATAAAGTAAGCAATGTCAGCTAGAGCTTGATCGGCCGAAAGGTACTTTAGATTTTCAGAACTCCAATCACTGTAAACGGAATTTCAATTAAGTAAACCTTGTGTCATTTACTTATCACTCTATTCATTTTTTTGGTCCTGTCAATGTTATTCTTACGATTAGTGTTACTTAAGGTAGGTGCACTCTAAACGTTTTATCATTGATACAAATTGTAGGTATTATTTATACATTGAAGAATTATTTTATGTTAAATTCTACTAATTGACAGTCTCTATGTATAGATACAGGAGCTACAACCGAATTTGTAATTTGTGGATGTGCTCTTGTTTATTAGAAAGTCTAACGTTTAGAGATTAATCTGAGAGCAAGTCAACAAAGAATACAGGAGAACAATTTCAAATTTTCAAATATCATACCTTGTTTCAAAAATCAAGAGCACCGATGTTTAATACGTAAGTGTATGGTAGTGTAGAATCAAAGGCAGAAAATCCTTTATTTGTTAAACTAACGCCAATGTTGCGGCTTTTAATTTTTTAAATAAACAATCAAAACTATATTGTTCTTATATTGATATCTAAGAAAATATCGAAAACAAGAGGTCAAGATCAAAATGAACAATTTGAGAAACTTATCTTACTCAAGACCTTGAGTTCTCATTTGCATTACTGATGTGCGAGGATCCATTTATATTGCAGAGAGCACGAGTGTGTTCGTGTGCGATCGGGCACACGTGTGCGTGAACGGCTTATAGATTCGCCGACTAGCCGCGGGCGCCTTTCTTCATGTGCGCTGTATTTATGAATGTGTGTGTCGTACCTGCGTTCTGGGAAAGCAGTTAAACAGTTCAAAAAAAAAATAAACTGTCCGGACGTTTTCCAGAAGGTTCCCGAAAGTAAACAAAGAGTATTTAAAGAAGGGGACGATCGCCGAGTAGAGGAGAAATAAATTGACCGTTGCAGAAGTTAATCCAGAAATAAATAGCAGTAATAGCAGTGAAATACATAGCGCAGTGAATAGTGTTTTTAAGTTCTTTAATAATTAGTGTAAATAAGTAGTTTTTGTCTTTATCATTCTTAGAGTTAATTTTGTTAAACCCACGAACATTACAATATAATCACAAAATAGTTACAAATGACCCTTTTCTTTTTTAATTTCATTAGGGATTTAGAATTTCATAAATTAAGTGCCTCAACAATCAGAGGCGTTACAGTGTATTTAATTTTTATAAGCAACTAGGCAACGTACCTGGTCGGCTGACTTTCTCCATAATATCTGTGTTCAGTATAGAACATGTATCCACCATTTTCACATGCCATGTCGTATATTGGCCCGGTCATAAGTCTTCCCGTTGTTATGGTCCATTCACCTCCGAGATATATGAATATCGGACCGCCACTCACAAAGCACTCGTCATTATATAAATATCTCTACGGAAAAAGAAAATGAAATAAATAATTCAGCTTCTTGAACTATTAAAAATATTTTTGTTGAATTTTCATTCATATAAATCGACTGTACCTATTCGTTGACTAGGTAGCTAGTTTAGGAGGAGAGATTGCTTTAAACTTTATTCCTGAAAGGATGAAAAGGGATGGGGTAAGTTTAGACGGAAAATGGAAATTTGGAGGAAATATTCTTAGTGGGTACTATATTGATGTAATAAAAAGATATTCTTTTCAAATTTGATCCATAAGGGGGTGAAAATGGTCCTCACTTGACATAAACCAGTGGACCTAGAGTTTTAAGGAGCGGATACTATTCCCTGAGTACTTTAGGACAGCACTGTGGAGGGGTTTTTGAAATTTCATCTCCTTAGGATTGAAGAGAAGCAAATATGTTTGAGCAGAGAAGCATTGGTAATTAGGGCGGTTGGCGGGGGCTGGGATAGTCGGGTGGAGGGAGTACGAATAAGTGCAATGAAGTGCTTTTAAATGTTAGTGAAGGCATTAGTGGGTGGAGATATCAAATCGAATAAAAAAACAGTTGAACAAGGAATCGAATCTGAGTAATTATTATCTGAAGTCTATTAATAAGAACAAAGGCTTTCACGGCCGGAATCCATAGTAGAATGCAGATTCGGGCTATAGGGCCGTGGTCTAAGTGAACGATTCTGTCCAGACGTTTCGTCAGCTACTGCGGCTGACATCTTCAGTGGTAGTGCTGCGTTGACAACGTGAACGTAGATTGTATCTCGATGTCTCGACAGCGACTGGGGCACTACAGGAAGAAATTGTAGCAGTATCAGATACAACTATTTTTAAATTCTTCACGATCATCTTGGCATAACTAAAGTCAGCGCAAGATGGGTGCCGTGAATGCTCAATCCGTCTCAAAAACAACAGCGTGTTTAGTGTTCTCCCTCGTTTTCGGACGTCTGTAGTGAAGATAAAATGGAGTATTAACTCGAACTTTTACTATGGACGAAACTCGGGTTCATCATTATGAACCTATGTCCAAACAGGATCTTATATACCAACCAGGAAGTTTAAGGTGTCACAGTCGGTTGGGAAAATCATGCCGACAGTCTTTTGGGGCCCAGAGGGTATCCTGCTTGTCCATTATAACCCATCCATAACCGGAGAATACAATGCTTGAATCCTACAGCGGTTAAAGGAAGCAGTAAAAAAAAAAGAGGAAGATTCACTAAGAAGATTCTGCACGACAACGCGCCTGTTCACAACAGCTGTCTTGCGATGGCTGTCCCATAGAAGTGCGCTTCAAAATTTTGGCGCACCCACCCTACAGTCCTGGCCTAACTCCCAGCGATTGTTAACTATTCCTAAACTTGAAAAAAGATTTCGCGGGAAGAAATTTTCAAGCGACGACGAAGTGAAGGATGCAGTTTCGGCGTATTTTTCAGACAAAAACATTTTTTTTTTTCGAAGGTATCTATACGTAAGTTATAAGGGTAGCAGGTGAATATATTGAAAAGGAAAAATAAATTCGTACTTTTATTTCTACTTCATATCCCCATTCCTCGAATTTAAAATCGGCCCTTTGTAACAATGCAATTTAGTTAGGTACTGGAAGGTTTCTAATATATGGAATGGATTTATCAGAAGGCTCTCCTTGTCTACGAGAATAATTAAATTAATGTTTACTCTCAGGAAATTGAAACGAAGCATTATTCATCATGATCGTGATAACGTATGTATTTCTCATTATCTTATATACGAGGGTGGATTGATAAGTTTCCGGCCTGACCAAGAAAAACAAGGTTTTTAAAAAATTTTTTTTTTTATTTCTCAACATAATCTCCTCCAAGGCTGATACATTTCTCATAGCGGTGTTCCAGTCTATTAATGCCATCTCTATAGACTGATTCGTCAAGCTCCTCAAAATAACCATTTACAGCTTCGATTACTTCTTCATTGTCCGCAAATCTCTTACCGCCAAGCCATTTTTTGAGATTAGGGAACAGAAAATAGTCACTCGGGGCTAGGTCTGGAGAGTAAGGAGGGTGCGGCATCAATTCAAACTTTAGATCGTTGATTTTAGCCGTCGCAACGATTGACGTGTGCGCTGGTGCGTTATCGTGATGAAACAAGATTTTTTTCTTCGTCAGATGAGGTCGTTTAATTTTCACCTCGTGGCTCAAACGTTGCAATAAGTCTGCGTAGTATTGACCAGTGATAGTATTACCCTTTGCAAGGTAATCAATGTATATAATACCTCTTGCATCCCAAAAAACAGTAGCCATAACCTTGTTCGCCGAAAAAATTGTTTTTGCCTTCTTTGGAGTTGGTTCCCCTGGTCCAATCCACTGTTTAGACTGTTCTTTGGTTTCAGGAGTGTAGTGGTGGACCCACGTTTCGTCAACGGTTACGAATCGACGCAAAAATTCGCTTGGATTACGCTTATACAATGACAAATTTGCGGTAGAAATGTTTTTTCGAATCAATTTTTGGTCGACTGTTAGCAAACGCGGCACCCATCTTGCACAGAGCTTTTCCATATGCAAATGTTGGTGCAAAATATGTTGCACACGTTCATATGACATCTTACAGGTCTCAGCTATCTCACGCACTTTCAATCTGCGGTCTCCCAGCACTATTTGATGAATTTTTTCGATCATATCTGGAGTTGTGACCTCAACGGGGCGTCCTGAGCGAGGCCCATCAGAGGTGCTCACACGACCCTTTTTAAACTCGGAAACCTACTGCTTAACGGTTGAATATGACGGGGAGGATGTCCCCAGTGTTGAGTCCATCTCTTTTTTAATTTCCTTCGGCGTTAACCCCTTCAAATAAAAGTATTTGATGACAGCACGATTTTCCTGCTTTTCCATTTTTACGAAAACCACAGAGGCGTCTTGTTCAGCGTGCTGTCAAACCTACACTAGCAAGGAGATCGGGCTGAAACTATAGCTACAAGCTATCCAAGGATGGTACTATAGAATGTCACCTCAAGGTAGGCCTAGTGGCGTCATCTCTTGGTTAGGCCGGAAACTTATCAATCCACCCTCGTATGATAACGCTTTCATGTTACAGTGAAGTAACAATGAGTAGGTACTTCCAGGCATTTCTTCATAATCTATAGGCACCTAAGTGCTGATTATTTATCTATTCTAAAGTCTAGGTACATGATTGATACTTATAAAACTTCAGCATTTCTATATCTCATGTTTACATCCTTTGCCGCATCCGATGTAATTCTCTTAACCTTCAAGTTAAATTCACAGGCACAAAAACTTCCCACACAAAAAAAAGATTATAACAAAAACTAATTTTGATTGTTTAAAAATTTAAATTCTTAAAAAACCCGACTGCGTAAAAAGCGAAGTAGAAAGATGGAAACTTTTTCAATTTAAGTACATTTCTACTAACTACGTTTTAATTTTCTTTTATGAATACACATATTGCTATTTCCTGTTTGAAAAAACTGGTTGTGTGTGGTATATATATAAATCTGTAAGTAGGTTCATCTAAGTTAAGTTTCTATCGAAGGTATGTACTTATACAACTTTCAGGTTATGTAATAATTAAAGGGAGCTTATATGACTATAAAATAGTCCAGGAAGCATCATCCTGATTTCTAACGATCGTCTCTCACAACAAATTTTTGTTTTGCCTTTACTACCATTTTGTTTTACAGCAGCCATTCGGTTTTCTAATAATGGAACTGGACGGGTTAGTCAAATCGATAGACATCTCATTGATTAAAAAGATCCATCAGGTCGTTTGGATGGCTCGAAGGAATAGTGAATACCACACACAACTGTTCGTTTCAAGAAATGAAAGATATGCCCCTTCTTTTTATTAGGATGAGCCGTAGCATAATTCCAAATTCAATCATATTTGTCTGCGGAGCTCATTTCTCCACCGATCATCGAACGAGAACTAGTCAAAAAGTGTACAGTACCATCTGCAAAATTATTTAAACTGCCTCGTTAAAATTTAAGAATGTGTTTTATTTAAAAGCATATTTAGCCAAAAATAATAACAAGTGAATTAACTTAACGTTCTACACACCCATAAAACTTTTGCTTTGTTTTCTATTGTTAATTTATATACATTTTTGTTTTAAGAAATTGCTAAACATTTTTGTCTAGTACTGTACAGTTCTAGCCGATCTCCTAAGACCGCCCATCGAGAGCTCTGCTCGTGCAGATTTCCTCAAGGTCACAATTCTAACAATTTGAAATGGACTGTACGCAGATACACGGGAAAAAACGTAGGTATAGTTGGGACGTTCAAAATTGGCATAGTCCACGATAAATTATCTGTGAAAATGGACATATCTTCTTTCGTGTTTCCTCTTGGTACTGTAGTCATTTGTTGCGTTTTGCCCTTGTTAAATGAGGAAATGCTTCAGGAGTAGTACAGACAAACAGTAACCGATGCAGGGGTTAGAAGTTCCTCAGGTACGCTAAAGATCAGGATCGGCTTTATAACTGCCTGGTTAGAAATATAAACAGTGTCTTTGCTCTCCTAAATTCCTGATAATATTGAACATTCTTTAAAGTCCGATGCTGGCAGCGTACTCAAATTCTGCTTTTCTGAATTTATTTCTGTTACACATCAATTGGTGTAATGTTATTCCTTTTTTTTATGTGTCTGCTGCAATTCCTACCTGACATCTATTTTCTATGCTTACGATATTCCTTACAATGTCTGTTATGAATAAAAGTTAGCGTTTTGTCAGCAACCTTTCCAGTATAGTTAGCAAGGTAAAAGAAGAAAGTAAATGCAACTATATCAATGTTTAACGCTCCAACTGTAGGTACCTAACCAACGCTTTGTGAACTAAATTATGAGACTATTTATTCGATTGAAAATATAACGGTACTTCATATGTATAAAGAAATCTTTTGTAAGTAAAAACACTTAATCAATCATCTAGTCATCTTCGCTATGTATCCAATCGAAATCATTATCTATGCTGTGATAACCATGCACTTAATCGACTGTGACTCGTAGGTACGTCAGAATATTTTAACTTGAATGTTTTGAGTATTGAAAAAATGCTCCTACAGACCACAAGGGGTTCTGCCGTAAATAAGATTACTTATACTTATTTTTCACAACAAGATGTACAAGAAGATGAAGACATGGTTACATTAATTTCATATATGACTACGACGCACTGTTTCTCTATATTAACTGCCAGTTTGTACGGAAAATGACACGAAATTAAGGCATTTAAAGTGGACTTTACAGTTGGTATAAGCATACTGTTAAAATCTAAACGAATTCATACCAAAAAAGACTGAGGAAAAATTGTTCCTAATTGTCACACCCTCGCCGAGAATCGAACCCGGGGCCTTTCGCTTAACGCACTAATGCTTTTACCACTATCCTATAAAAGGTAACAGCAGTAACAATGACGAAACTTACTTATTAAGTCACAGTTTCGTCAAACTAATTTATAAGTAGGTATTAATATCATATCAAATACTTTAAAAAATTTTAATCGTGGTTAATATGTAATATTTATGTAAAAATTTGTTGGTTTTCTTCCGAANGATAATAAAGAGTAACGGCCCGAGAATCGTACCTTGAGGAACTCCGATTAGTTCGTTATCACTCTTAGTATTGTTGACGAATACCCTCTGTTTTCTACCACTAAGATAGCTTTTCATAAGCTCTAGTGGTCTCCCTCTAATTCCTATGCATTGGATAGGGGTTCCAAATTCCCTATGTCTAAACAAAAATCGAATGTGTTAGTGGACATCTTTCTTTCTCTTACTGCTTGCAGAAAGAGATAGAGAGAGAGCTAACGAAGTATATTCGATCTTATCTACTGTTATCTGGTTAACATGACCAATAGAAGTTATTTTAAAAAACTTTAAAATTTAACGTATAAGTAGCAAAACCAACTGTCCTAAAATTGTCATTTCGAAATATTGTGAATACATGACGTTTATCGAATGCACATGATAAATAAGTATTTGTTTTCTTTTTGCAAATATCTACCTTGACTAAAATTTATAATCAATATTTATCAAAAATAATTAGAGACCTTGTTCGTATCCTACTGGGTGTCCCACGACACCATTCAGCTTATTACGTTCAATATAATTAATAAATGAACTGAATATTCAATTTGAAACTATTTTTGCACTTACCATTTTCCATGTTCTTTTATCCACAGGATTGAAATGATCAACCCTCTGGGTTATGTTAGCCCACACGGGAACAGTAGCTCTGCCGACGGGAACATCTATTGGGGGAGGTGCATGCAAGTTACGAAATATTTTTGCCTAATAATGTTAAATTTTATTTTATTTAGATACGTTATATGAGAATTAAGTTTACTTTATTTATTATTTACCTCCGAAGCAAAAACACACAATATTAGAAATAGAATAGGTAAAGTCGCCATCTCAGTAAAAGTTGTGAACACTTTTGAATAGGTGATGAAAAGTGCAAACGAAATGGAATGTGAACTAAAATTACCAATAAGATTAATTATTTATTAATAAATTGTAGTAGATACATCGATAGACAATTTGACGATTATGTTTCTAATAACGAGTGGTGGGGGTAATTATTTCAGGGATTACTTTTGGTATCTTTGAAGTTTCGCATCTATACCATAAATATGATAATACATATCAGCGATATTGATAACAAATTGATAGTGAATTACAACAATCAATTAATTTATTTAAAGTAAGAAATGTAATAATAATTAGTGATTTACATTATTTACAAGTTATAGACAAGGTTATATCGATAACCAGACTAGGTATTATTTTTTTTACATGAAACATTATACAACATTAAACCTCAGTTTACACCGGTCAGTCCATAGGTAGAAAACATTTTGAGACTCTCTGAATATTACCATCTTAACTGGAGCAGTTAAGTTACATAAACTATATTTAACAAAAGATATTAAGAAGTTAGGAGAAACAGTGTATAGTGCACTCATTAATTGAAGCTGCTACCGAGCGGCATGGCCTAGGGGTTTAGACCATTACTTAGCATTCGGAAGGACGCCGGTTCGATTCCGGGTCCGTTTGCCTTGGTCCAAATTCTTCTGTCTTCATTTCGTCCGTCTCATCTTTCTCACCCGAACCACCACCCACCCATGGTATTTCTAGGGTAATATTATTTTGAAATGACCATGAAATAACAATACAAACGAAACTATTCGGATAAATCTTGTTTAAAAGTTGGCAACAGAGTCTGCTGCACAACTTGCAATTTTATTCACAAGCTGTAATCACTCACAAGGTGGGAAAATGGGTAAGTGGTGGGAGACTCGAATGATCTCCGTTTTGATGTAGGTTGAACTATTTGCGGTGCAACGGTTCAACGATGCGCGGTCCAGCGGTTAAACTATTCGCGGTACAACGGTTCGAGGATGCGCGGTGCAACGGTTGGACGATGCGCGGTGCAACGGTTCAACGATGCGCGGTGCAACGGTTGAACAATTCGCGGTGCAACGGTTCGACAATGCGCGGTGCAGCGGTTGAACTATTCGCGGTACAACGGTTCGACGATGCGCGGTGCAACGGTTGAACGATGCGCGGTGCAACGGTTCAACGATGCGCGGTGCGTCGGTTGAACTATTCGCGGTACAACAGTTCGACGATGCGCGGTGCAACGGTTGAACTATTCGCGGTACAACGGTTCGACGATGCGCGGTGCAACGGTTGATCTATTCGCGGTACAACGGTTCGACGATGCGCGGTGCAACGGTTGAACTATTCGCGGTACAACGGTTCGACGAAGCGCGATGCAACGGTTGAATTATGCTCGGTACAATGGTTCGACGGTGCGCGGTGATTCGGTCGGGCGACACTTTGTATGTCGAACGATCAAGTTCGGTTGGTAGGTTTGACTACGAAATCGTCGGGTTCGAACGTTCTGATAGTTGAACCGTTACTATACAGGTAAAAAAAACTATGTATGTATGATATTTTTTTTAATATTATTTGTATTTTATAATATTGTTATAAGTACCACCCTAGGCAATAATTCCATAGCTGGCTACTGATTGGAAGAAAGCATAATAGATCATTTTCATAGTCGCAGCTTTCATTGTATTGCTAAGTTTACGAAAAATAAATACTAGATATTTAGTTTTACTCAATAGGTAATTTATATGCTTCTCCTACTTGATGTTAAAATCAAAGTAGATTCCTAAATATTTACAATATTCAGCTCTTTGTATAATCGTATCAAAAATCTTCATATTAATTACATCTGGAACTCTATACTTATAAATACCAAAGGTCATATGGACAGTTTTATTTATATTAAGTGAAAGTTTATTTGTAGCTAACCGATTTGCAATAAGAAGCAATTTGTTATTCATATTCTCTTGTGTAAGGTGCCGTGTATTTTCATCTGATACAACAGCAGTGTCGTCTGCGTACGAAACTACCGAGCCACTGTTGAATAGCTTTAAAATATCATTTATAGATAATAAAGAGTAACGGCCCGAGAATCGTACCTTGAGGAACTCCGATTAGTTCGTTATCACTCTTAGTATTGTTGACGAATACCCTCTGTTTTCTACCACTAAGATAGCTTTTCATAAGCTCTAGTGGTCTCCCTCTAATTCCTATGCATTGGATAGGGTTGTTAGTAGATTTGATAGAACGTTCTAGAAGAAAAAGTGGTGAGAGAGAGGGTGAAGAAACTGGTTTATAGAATTAAGTAGAATTAAACAGTACAGAATTCAAGAGAAAATAATCAAGGGTAAAACCAGATGTATAGTTTGGGAGTATGGGTAAAAGTGATTGAGAGAACAGTAGAGTTTAGATTGAAAAGAAACCAAGATATGTAGAAGATAATAATTTGAAATGAATTGAAATAATATTTGAAATGAAATAATATTTGAAACGAAATAAAATTAGAAAAAATATTTACACACAAAAAAAACAATAAGAGTTCTTTCGCCACATACGAAAATTAGAATAAGAGTGCGACGGACTAACAAGGATTTTAGTTAGACGAGATAGGCTAACTTTTGCACCACTTGGTTTAAAATACTGACTCCTTGGATTTAACTACTGGCCATTTATATTTAAATATTTAAAAAAAGGGGCCAGTTCCTTCATATTGAAATATTGACATTTTTTAAATTGAAATGGGTAATACTCATAAAACTCGATTAAAGTACTGCAAAGGATTTCCAGGATCTAACGCTTTTATCGCATTAAGTTAAAAATGAAAATTTCTTGGATAAAGTGTGAGGAAAAGGAATGAAGAGCAACAATGTGATCCTACAGGAGCTTGCGGATTATTCTAAAGTACGAAACCATAAGAGTAGTGCACCACAGGTAAAATTGTGAAATATTAAATGCTTAAATAAAAACTTCTACTAGTGTTTTATTTCCAAAAATTTTGTTATCCGCAACTCCGTAGGTAATATGAATCAAGCGACGTTTATTTCTTGTATACACATTAATCAATTCCACACATACTTTTTGGATGTTCTTTACATCTTTGTATGTCAGTGTTTATAAGGGAGAAGGGGAACTTTTAAATTGACTGAAACATCTACAAAAGAAAATACTACAAATGGCGCAGTAAACGCCATCTGCAGCACGATGCTACATTTTAGGATTATGTATGCTCCAACAAGGTCCACTTGTGTCGATATCTACTTGTTGAAAACGAATCCCGGCGTAGCCAACCTCAACGTGATAGGCACGTTAGCTTAATCGAATGAAATAATTCGAAGTGGTCTGTCTTCTGTCGAAACTGTCAGACGCGGATCGCGATTTCTTTTTGGATCTCATCAGAGCGTCGCAGGCAGCTCCGACAGAACACTGACCAACTCTTACCTGCTATCTTAACAGTGCGTTTTAGAAAATACTACAAAAGAGTTTAAAACTTCCTTAATTTCAATTAATTTTATTGACTGCACAATTGCATGTACTAGGCAAATCCACTTCATTTTACATGAATGTAAGAAATTAGAAATTATAAATGAAACAAATTACAGTAGCCATAATAGTTATTACACTTGTTCGTAAACTATTTCCAGATGATGTACCATATTTTATTTCGTCCAACCATCTCGCTATTGTTGTCCGAATTGTGAGTTTTGTTTGTCTGATTTGTTCGGAATCACTATTTGATGCAGATCTGAGATCGGCACAGTGAGAAGAACCTGAATTTAAAAAAAAAAACATTGAAGTTAGTCAAGCAGCCTTTTTGATGTCTTTGTCACTTATTCTTTAAGGAATTGTTTCACGTTTCCAATTTGTTCAAAGATATAGATATAGAGTATACATAAGGAAAGAGTGATTGAAAAGTCTACACAACCAGGATCCATAGAAGAAACAATGACAAAATTACATTAAACTACAAAAAGCAAAAAACTAAACATTCTAGAAAATATTAAGATGTCAGCCGCAATCGCCGACGAAACGTTTGGATCTATTAGTTCATTTAGACCACGGCCCTTCAGCACTAATTATACTTCAACTATGGACTCCGGCCAAAAAACCTATATACTTATAAAAAATACAAATACCAAATTGCCTGATCGTTTCATGTCATTAATAAAACGTTAAATCTTTGACAGATGTAAGACACTCTAAAGCTAGCACATAGACATAGAGAATGGACATGAAATTGACCATTCCCCAGAAAGAGGGAGACAATCATTCGGCTAATATCAGTCTCTTTCTCTCTTTATTTACCTCATTTTACCGCTTGTAACACTGTGATATACTAGGGTCAATTGAAAAGTCCCCGGCCTGACACATAGATGGCGGCACCAGAACTAAATCTGTGGGGATTACACTCATACAAGTAAACACACACATAACCTCAGTACACTCTACAACTACCTCTTTGCTCCATGACGACACAGCGCTCCGTACGGAGACTCGTGAAGTCAGGGATCTCAGGTTGGTAACAATGAATGTCACCAGCTTGGTGATTCATATTAGTTTTATTCATCGACTGTTTAGTCAGTAAGATTTTGTACTGCTTCGAACATTGATCAACCTCCTGTATTAATATTAATAAATTGTTATTGTTATTCACATTCACGCTCATTTAATTATATGTGCGAGTTATACCGAACCCCCACA